TCTCTGCGGGAATCTGGACCTCTGTTTCCCTGTGGTGCTGGACTTTGTCCTCTCTACTGCCATTCTCGGTCTGACACCCTGTGGTTCTGTGAGAGGCAGAGACCAGTGAGGATGGAAAGAGGCCAAAGCACTACCTTTACCTGCCAAGGCCCTGTGCCCCACCACCTCCATCCCTGGTCATTAGGAGCACAGACTCGGCACATAGATGTGATGGTGAATGGTCCGAGCTTAGGCAGGGCCCAGAGAGCTCATGTGCTGTGCCAGGGCCAGGCAGCAATGTGGGGTTTCCCTCCTCTCTTGGCTGCCCTGTCTGGAAGGCCCTTAGAGTCACCTGTTGGGGAGTCTGGAATCATCACACGGAGCGTGGTCTTTGGGAAGGTGGGTCAGCAGGGGTGATCCGAGAGCCTGTCCCTGGTGCTGGGCTTTGAAGGGCAGAGCTGCTTCTAAGAGGTGCCAGTTGGGAGACAGGCATTCTAGGCTGAGGAGGACGGCTAGGAGGATGGGTATATGGAGGCCAGCATGGCAGCTGTAGCTTAGTGTCTACTGGGAGATGAAGGCTCAGGAGATTGGGTGGTGCCCAGTAGGCAGGTGGCTACAGGGGGTGACTGAAGAAAACTGAGCTCTGTCAACAAGAGGTGAGCCAGCCACATCCCTGTCCCTGGACAGGCAGGCAACTGAGAGCAGAGGTAGCACCTGCCACCCTAAGAAATGCCTGCCTCCCTGGAGCCATAGTCCTCTTCCTATGCTACACAGAGCACTGCCCCTTGGGGCAGCCACGGCCATGGCCACCCTGCAGTGGTTCCCCACCTGCTGCATCGCAAACCACATAGGGCCACCCTCGCCCTGGCTCCTGGTATCTGCTGCTCCCGCTCCCAGCTCCTTCCTCTTTCTCTGTACTTCCCACCATCCAGCCGCTCTGCCTTCTGGGTGGCTTTTCTCCATTCAGCATATGGCTCGTTCATGACCACTCACCAGTGTGTCAGGGGTGGAGAGGCCCAGATAGGGGACTCAACCTGCCTGAGGTCACACAGTGGGCTCACGGGCCAGCCTCTATTTTCTGGATAATTGCCATGCTACTTTTTTTCTGAATTTCTTAGCCAGTTTGTTAGCTTCCCAGGGCTCCTGTAACAAAGGACCACAAATTGGGTGACTTTGACAACAGAAATGTGTCATCTGCCAGCTCTGGAGGAGAGAAGCTGAGATCAAGGAGGCAGTGGAGGGAGTTCCTTCTGAGGACTGAGAATCTGCGCCAGACCCCTCCCTGAGCTCCTGCCGGCTTGTTGGCAATCCTTGGTATTGTTAGGCTTAAAGAAGTACATGTGGCCTCTCCCTGTGTGGCTGTCTGTGTCCAAATTTCCCCATCTGAAAGGGCAGTAGACACACTGGATTAGGGGCCCACCCTGCTCCAGCATGAAGTTACATTAACTAATTACATGTACCGTGATGCTGTTTCCAAATGAGGACGCATTCTGCAGTACTGAGGGTTAGAACTTCAGTATATGACCTGTGCTCCCTCACAGGTGAGTTAGAGATGGGAGGCCACAGTTCAATCCATAACATACGTGTAAGGCTCTGGCAGGCCTAGCTGGCCCTAGCTGTCAACTCTTGGCCAGCAGTGTCCTGTGCTGGGTAAACACATTGCTTAGGCCTGTTGGTGGCCTCCCTCCTGGACTTGAATGTTAACTGTCAGAGGCCTGCAGGGCTCCTTCCTGGACCCTCTCCTTCCCCGTGAGAGCTCGTTCCCTGGCGGCCATCCTTCCAGGTTCCTGCTGTCAGTCATCTCTCACAAGCTGATAACCCCTCGCCTACTTCTACAGCTCTATCGTCACCCCTGAGCTCCTGCTTCCCAACATCTCCCTTTCTTTGGTAAAATGTCCAAGTCCATTTTTTTAGAGTTTGAGAGTTCTCTATATATTTTGGATACATATCCAATTTCAGATTTATGATGTGAAAATATTTTCACCCAGTTTGTGTTTTGTCTTTTCATTTTCTTACCATTGTCTTTTGAAGAATAGGAGTTTTTAGGGCTGACCAAGTCCATTTTCCGAATCTTTTATGGCTTGTGCTTGCCTAACCCAAAGTCACAAAGATTTTTTTAAAACATTTTCTTCTAGAAGTTTTATAGTTTTAGCTCTTACCTTTGATTATCCATTTTGACTGAGTCAATTTTTGTATATGGCATGGAGATGAGGTCTATTTTGGTCCATATGGAGCCCCCATTTTTCCAGTATCATTATTGAAAAGACTATCCTGTCCTAATTGAATCAACTGGTCACCTTGTTGAAAACTGACCACAGTTGTATGGGTCTATTTCTAGATTCTCTGTTCTGTTTCATTGTTCTGTTCATATACTAATACCACACCATCTTGATTGTTGTAGCTTCACAGTAAGTCTGAAATCAGGTGATATGCTTTTTCAGTAAGTTTGAATCCCAATTTGCCCTTTTACAGAATGGTTTGGCTATTCTGGATCCTTTCTATTTCCATTAACAATTTTATAATGAGTTTGTCAATTTCTTAAAAAAAAAGACAGTCTGCTGGAATTTTGCTTGAAATTGCATTATAGACCATCTTGGGGAGAACTGACATTTTAAGAATACCAAGTCTTCTGACTCATAAACACAGTCTGCCTTTATTTAGATATTCTTACATTTCTCTCAGCAAAGGTTATTTTGTGTCCCTGGTGTACATTGTACATGGGTATGGCTTTGGTAATTTGCACTCTCAAACTTGGTCAGAGCCCCAGGGGTCTGTGGGTCTTCTGTCTTGTCAGGCCCCAGACCTTTCTCGTGTACACCCAGCGGAGGCCTGTGGACAAGGGCTGATGCGTGTGTAGACTACCCGTGTGCACAGGGCTCCCTGTGATTCCATATTGTCACACTAACCTTAAAAATTTGTTAAAATTTCAGTTGTGTTTTCTTACCTGCTTATACTTTGTCCACTTTCTCCCTGCTCCCACGCTCGGCTAATGTAAAAGAGCACGTGTGCCCTCTCTCTTCTCAGAGGGACTTGTCACCTTTTGGAGTTGGGTTCACCCACTTGCCCTACAACTTCAGCCCTCTCATGGGCTGAAAAAGCATAACATTGTAGATTATCAGGCTTTGTCTTGTTGTTAGAGGAGGACTGATATTCTTTTACAGCTTTCTACAGCCTAAGTAGGGTTTGGGTAACTTTTGTTCAGGGCACGGCTTGTGCTTCCATGGCCCAGGCCCGCAGTCCCTGAAGGGGCAGGGGGACCACAGGGAGACAGGAAATGAGGCAGGATCCATAGGCAGAGATCGGGGGGCTTTTGAGGATCCTAAACCCTGACTCTGGTGCATTCCTGTGGCCCAGCTAACAGCTTATCTGGCCCCCCAAAGCTGACTGGATCCTATAACCCCCATTCCAGGAATAACCCAGTGACCAGCGTCATCCCTGCAAATCACCATCATCACTGTCCCTTGCATTTTCCGGTCACACTGTTTGTAGTGTTTGCATAAGTAGGCAAGGCAAATGCCTTCACTCCCATTTTTCAGATGAGGAGAGGGACTCAGAGCCCCTCGAAATCTAGATCTCAAAGTTTCCCTAGAGCTGTCTTGCCCCCACACAGGACTCTGTGGGACCCCAGAGGTCAGTGTGGGTTCCTCAGGGTTGGTTCTGGGCCCCTCTTCCTCAACACTGCAGTCTTGCTTGTAGATGTTGAGCTTTGGCCTGAGATGCTGATTGAATGAAGGTTACAAATGACATAACTTTAGAATTACTCATCCTGTCCAATACCACTGTTTCTTGTCCTACCGATGGCACTGCTCAGTGGTCACTACCTGGAACACTAATGTGAAGGACTCTTAGGGGGAATCTCTTAGGGAGATGAGTGCAGTGGATGGATTGACAGTGTCTGCCATGGGCACAGGATGGGGGAGTCCTGGCACGCATTTCCATGTGTTATCCCTACCCCATGAAATGTGCCAGGATGGCGGTGAGAGCTGGTGCTGGGGCTCTGAGGGCCCCACTTACCACAGCACTCACCACTACAAGGACTGCACTATGCCAAGGGAACGTGCCCACCCAGGGCCCATGATCCTCCTTTGCAGGTCATACTCTGGGTACCTTGGCCCACAGAATTCCCTGCCTCACCAGTGCTAAGTACAATTCTAGGGCTTGGGCTGGCATCCCCCCAAGTCAGTCCCCCTACAGAGTGACCTGGTCACCATGTGCGTACTCCTAGGCCCAAGTGGTAGCTGTTTAGAAGGGTAGTTTCCAAGGGGAGGCTGTTTGCAGAGGAATATAAATGGTGCTTGGACAGGAGGGCTAGATTTTCCACAAGGAGGCATGTGAGGTCCCTGGAAGGGGGCCCCTGTGTCCTTGCCCTGTGCCCCACAGATCCGAGGAAGGGGCCTGTGGTACACTCACTGAAAGAGTGTGGAGATGAATCAGTGATGTCTGACGCAGACGGGGGGGTGAGACGTGGACTCCTGGCTTTAAATCACACAGTCACGCTTGATGTTGACCCTCCCTGCCCAGCAAGAGACATCACATTCCTCCCACCTCCTGCTGATGCCCACATCCTGCTTAGACTTTACCAAGGGAAGAGCATTCATTACCCTCCAAGGAAGCCACTCCTTGCATATTTGAACAGTTCATCTACTTAGAACATTCTTCCCTAAGCAGACCCCAAACTACCTCCCAGGCTCTTCCACCATTTGGACCAAATTCTGGGTGGCCCAAGAGGCTACCTTCCCAAGGCCGCACAGCTACTCAGTGATGGAGCTAAGTGGGACCCCCAACCCTCCAGCCCTCAGCCCTGTTCCTGCCTCTCCACCCCATGCTGATGTTCAGAGGAGCCCCAGAGCACGCAGGGCCGAGGCAGGAAACCTCAGGGTCAAGTCCTCTTGTGGCTCCAGTCTGTCCTGTCTATCCCTGCTCCCAGTCATCTCACCCAGCCCAGCACATCAGAGCTCTGGCTTTGTTGTCCCTATGTCTGAAATAGAAAAAGAAAAACACAACACAACAATTTGGGGTCCAAAACAAAACACAAAGGACAATGTTAATAAATACATTAAAATGTAGAGATCTGGATCTCAAAGGCACAAGACTTGACATCACCTAACACAGGCAAGCTGGGTCTCACAGGAATGATTCAGTGTGTGCCCCAGCATCTCAGGGAGAGGGCGGGCAGTGGGCGGAGAGGGCACCAGGGGAGCCCCCTCTAGGGCCTCAGGCCACGCCCACTGCTGCCACTCCTCCTGCCTGGCTCAGAACCACCCCTGGCCCCGGGGAAGGAAGAACTGGCAAGCACCTCTGTCATCTCCGAGGAGTCTGGGAGACCCTCTTACATGCTCAGTGGGAACCCCGGGGAGAGATCCTGGAACTTGGGTGGCTACCTGAGAGTCAGAGGGTTTAGGGAAGGTAACTGCCCTTGGAGGTAACATGGTGGGCAGCTGAGGCCCCACAGTGCTGTGGATTAGCGTCTCTCCTCCCCACACTCGCAGGGGGCAGAGGCTCACATCCTGCCCTGGGGCACCTGGCCTGGGTGGCCCTTGTCATCCTCAGGGCCTGGCTATGAGTGGACTCTGGTGCTCAGCCCTGGGACCTGACCACCTCCTCCCCGGCCCCACACCACAGACCTCTGGCCCAGGGAGCCAGGTGGAGAGGAAGACCCCTGACTCCAGCAGGAGTGGTCTTTGATGGCGGGCAGTGACTGACAGGTCATAAGTTGAACACTCACGTCTCCTCTGGGTCCCACAAAGTCACATCCCAGAGTGATGACCAAAGGTGCCATTCCTGGTCTAGCCAGGTGTCTAGCACCAGTTGGAAGACCCCTGAATGTTGAGGACACATGTTTCAGAGTGTCCAGACCCCACTTCTTGGGTGAGCTGGGCTAGGTCGGGAGGCCTACCTCCAACCCTGCACCTAGAGCCTCAGAACCACATTCAGCCCCCCAGCCCCCTTCCTTTCAGACTGCCCTACAAGTATGCCCCCTCACCTTCCCTGGCCTCTCTTTGCCTTTCTGGGCAGAGGGGCCAGATAGATGGGCCTCCACAGGGGTCCCCACAAGCTGTGGGGGCAGGACAGCCGGACAGTTCCAAAGTGAGGCCTGGTAGCTGGGAGAGAGTGGCTAGCTGGCCCTTGGTCCCAGTGTGGGAGACAGACAGGAGCCCCTGAGAGGTTCGATTCCATTGCCTGGGCTGCTTGCTGAGGTATCTCTGGTTAAGGCTTTCCCTGATCTTTTTCTTTCTCGCATACCCACTTTCTGGGGTGAAAAGTCTCACAGCCCCAAACTAGAATAAGAAGGCAAATAATTTAACAAGAAGTCTGTGCCTGCCCCTGCCCCTGCGCCACTGTGTGTCCTCTGAGCTGGGGGTCTCCAAGGCAGAACATGGAGTGTAAACCAGACCGGTGATAGGTGAGGCAGGGTTCATGTTGCAGGGGAGGTGGCGGGAAGGCTGGTGCCTGGATGCTTCGGGTCGTCCCTGAGCTGCCCTTTATTTTCAGAGACTGACAGAGGTGCCCCAGTCCAGCCCCAAGGCAGTCCCCAGGGGGTGCTTGGGGAGGTGTCCCAGAATGCTCTTGGGCTCAGTTTCTGGGGAGTAAAGTGATGCTGGGTCATTGGGGAGCCTGTGCCGAGAGGTCCTGGGAGCTGTGTGGGTTGGCCATGCTGATAGTCGTCTGATCCCATTGGCCCGACAGTAGGCTCCACAGCATCTGGAGGTGCCTTGGGTCCTGGTAAGGGGCTTCCAGGAGTGGAGAAGGGTGGTGGTGAGGCCAGGCTGGGAGCTGGGCTCATGGCAGGGCCTGAGGCCTTCTTGGTACAGGACTCACAGCACAGCTGGTGGTAGCCAGGGATGGAGCAGTAGCGATCAAGTACTTCCATCTGGCAGAAGATGGACCTGTCCCCCACGCAGGGCTCTGCTGCATACACAGCACAAGGACCAATGCCAGGGGGATGCCCATCAGCTGGGTGACACAAGGACACAAGCCCCCACCTCCCACTTAGCCCACCAACTGCAGGCCTTCCACCTCCTGCCCTGGTTGAACTCACAGGAGACCTTTTTCCCAGAGGGGGCCACAGGGTGGCCTGACAGGAGAAACTGGCCTGAGTAGGAACTAAAATCCCCTAGAGCGGTGGTTTTCAAGTGGGGTCCCTATGCATGGGGCATCAGCACTATTTGCTGAAATTGCCAATTGCTGGGCCCCATCCAGACCTATGAATCGAAAGTCTGGGGGCAGGGACCAGCTCTGTGTTGCAACAAAACCTTCAGGGTGATTCCAACATGTGGAAAAAATCTGAGAACCATGGCCCTACATCATCAACCACACTTGGCTGCAAACTAGATTTCTAGTTTGTCCAATCGTGAGGGAGACGGGACAGCCTGGGTATGGCCTGGATCCTGGGTGATTCTAATCTGCAGCAGAGCTTGGAAACCCTGCTCTAGATGGAAGTGGCAGCTCTCAACCCGCAAATCCAATCAACCCAAAGGAGTCTCATCCACTCTGTCCAAGGCCAGGCAAATGCCCAGGTAATTCACACTTGTAAGCAGCAGATTAGACATCCTGCTGCCAGTCAGCCTGCATTTGGGTCTTTAAGCCTTCCACCAATAAATCTGGAATCAAGCAGATCTAGGTTCCTATAAGAGGCCCTACCACTTAAAAGCCATGAGGCCTCAGGCAAGTCACTTAAATTTTATAACCCTCAGTTTCTTCTCCCATAAAATCGGGAGAATGCTGACATTTACCACTGAATAATAACATAATAATTATGAATGACATGGATAAAATTCCTGGCATTAGAAGGGTGCTTACTATACTAGTTTTGTTTGCTTTGGTTCAAATATCATCTAAAAATGTTTTTGCGTTTCTGTGATAATTCCAGGCAGGTCTCTCCAGACAATGCAAAGGCAGGAGCTTTGCTTTCAACTACTTGCCAGAAAGGTTAGGTGAAGGGGCAGATAAGAAAAAAAGGAAAGCCAGTGGCCTCTAGATGTCGCAAGAATTCTAGGACCAGAAGCAGAGAACCACCCTTAATCCAGGGAAGAAAGGGAAGGAAAACCCAGACACTTGGCCTCTGGAGCCTCGAGTAGCACAGGAGCAGAGCAGCAACAAGGTTGGGGCCAGAAGATCCTCTAAGGACATCTAGTGAGACCCCTTTATTTCACAGATGTGGTCACTGAGCTCAGAGAGGTTCAGGTATTTGCACAAGGCTACACAGCCAATCAGTTCTTTAATGGGGAGTTAGGACCAGTGAGCTTTCTGCTACTCATTTTGTCAGACCCTGGCCCTCAGGAAGGTGAAGAGGGAGAGTGAAGGAGCCTAGGGAGGGAGCATAGAACATAGAGTGTGGTACATAGCAGGTGCTGTGTCAATATTTATTAGTAGATGGATGGATGGGAAGATGGGACAATGAACTGACAGGCTCCTGATCGGGAGGCAGAAAGAAACTACTACTGCTGCTTGTGCTGTTGTTAGCTGACAGTTAGGCAGAAGTGCATGTATTATTTCATTTCATTTTCTCAACAGCCCTATGAAAGCAGCTCAGACCTACAATGGCTTATCCCAAAATCTTGAAACCAGATATGATTCATGATTAAGAACTTCTGAGGTTAGAAAAGTGATATTTGGTATGTTCAGGATTATATAACATCCTAGGTGGAGACTGGGACGTCACCTTGTGACCAAATACGGTAATGTTTATGCAAAAGAACAGCTCATCTCTAGTTAGTCCAGGTCTGACTTGGCTGCCGAATGAGTGTGCACCAAATTTAGGAAAGCACAGCTCTCAACATTTGGGAACAGCTGATACAGGATCACAGACCAGTACGAGCAGCATGCCCACCTCACAGCTGAGGAATCTGAGGCTCAGGGAGGTTAAGGTCACCTGGTCAGACTGGAGGCTGGGTCTGCTCCACTGCATGGCCTGTGCTTGTGACACTGTGACCACTGGAAGGTTTTGTGGGGGGGTGTCCAGAGAGACACTTACTTGATGATATCTTATTCATGGGATGTAGGGGTCCAGATTGTGGCACCCACTGCTTCTCTGGGGTCACCAGTTCCCGGATGTCAGCCATCACTGTGGAGTTCTGGAGATTTCCTGTGAGCAGGGAGAAGCAGCTCTAGTATTTGGAATTTCCAAGGGGCCAAGATGCAAGCAGGCATAGGCCTGCCCCCATCCGATCTGGCTCACCTCCACAGGATGGCAGGCTGCAGACCTGGACAGCGTCTGGCTTGTCTCCCTCGCACTGCCCGAGAGTGTTGGTATTGGTCCTGCATACCACCTGTCGCTGCTGGATGCCCACTCCACAGGTGGCTGAGCACTGCGGAGGAAGGCCAGGTCAGGGCAGCCGGGGAGGGGAGGGTGGGGAGACAGGGAAATAGGGCAGTGAGCTCTAAAGACCAGCCAGTGTCCAGGACAGAAAGGGTGAAGAAGAGGGAGCCGAGCTTCTACTCGACCAGAGGGACATGCAGAAACTGCTCTAAACAGCCTCACCGGGACAGCACACAATTGTCAAATACTCCTACGCCAGGTGGTGAACAGCCACCCCCTGGGCTTACAATCCCCTGAACCTTTCCAGCATCTAAACAGTTAACCCTGTCTCAGGAGGTTATCCATATCAGCACGACTGCCTGTGTCCACTGCAGACTGAGCCTGGGTCCCTAACAATGTTGTACATCGCCCTGGCAAACTCCCCTGTTGTGATCCACCAGCCTGAGGGACCTGGGACAGGTCCAATCTAGTTGATGACATCTTGTTACCAGGATGGCGAGGCCCAGATTGTGACAGCTGCTAAACTGATAGAGCTGGGTGGCAGGGTCCTCATGGACCTTTCTTGCTCCAATATTCAATGGCTTTGTGACTCAATTTACCAAAAGTCGGCTGGCAGAGGCATGTTCAAAAGTATTTTCTTCGCTGAGAAGAATAGGCATGGTTCTAAGGAGCAGATGGCTAACAGTTTGCATGAGCTGCCACCATCATCCCCTGGATCTCGCACACTCTGCTAATGAGTGGTGGTGGTGGCAGTGGTGGTGGGGTGAGGGGGAGTCGCCAGAAAAGCAAAGCTGCCCAATGTGACCAACCACAGCCTCTCCTAGTGGGGTGGGGAAGAATCTGCAGGCACCACTTCCCACGTAAGGGTCACAGGCCACAGAGAAACATGGGACAAAATGGCTCATGCTCCCAGGATGAACAGTTACAAACAACAATAGCTCTTAAGTGCTTTGTCTGTCTTAGAGGGTACAACTCTCTTCCACCATCTGTCCCCTCTCTATTAGTTTTATCAAAGGGGTCCTTTGTGGACCAGTACGCTTTCTGTTTTATATTAAAACAAAGCTATACATGATGGAGAATATTAAATGTGTGTGAGTGGGATTTGGGGGTATTCAAAAATATTCTTTATTATACAGTATTTCAAGCATACAGAAAAGTATGAGGAAGTTGGTCACGAGAGCCTGTGCAAATACCACCACCAGCTTTAATAAATCAGCATCCTGGCATGTGTTCAAACACTGTGTTGTGCCTTTTTAAACTTTAAGTAAATGGTATCCCTTTGGAAGTGCTTTTTTCTTCATACTTCAGTCATTTTTCTTGCCTTTTTTTCTGAGGCTTAGCTATATTGATAAGTACAGTTCAAGCTTATTCATTATTCTTGCTGTATTTTATAAGAACAGACCTTTTTTTTTGGTCCAGTCTCCTATATCTGGACATTTAGGATATTTCCTGATATTCTGCTACTACAGTAAGTACCACTGTGCTTTTCTCCATGATCAAATGAGGTATAAAAAATTGTGGTAAAATATACAAATCACAAAATCTACCATTTTAACCATTTTTGAGTGTACAGTTCAGTGGCATTAAGTACATTCACACTGTTGTGCAACCATCACCCTCCACCTCAGAAGCTTGTCTCCTTCCCAAATGAAAACTCTGTGCCCATTAAACACTAGCAGCCCATTCCCTCTTCCCCAGCCCCAGGCAGCCACCATCCTACTTTCAGTCTCTGTGAATCTGACTGGTCTGGGTAGCTCATGTAAGAAGAATCATACAGTATTTGTTATTCTGTGTCTGGTGCATTTCACTTAGCGTAATGTCTTCAAGGTTTATATCAAACAGATTTTTAAAGAAAGAATCCAAGACATCAAAAAACTTCTCTGTGGCCATTCCCAGGGGCTAGTCACAAGTGCATGGACTACTCCACAGCCTTCCTACTGTCGCCCTTCTTCTACGCTGGCCTCCCAACGATGAACTTTCTATAGCACTGCCAGAGTGGTCTTTTAAATTTGAAATTAGAGTTTGTAGTAATCATGTTAAAAACCTTCAACAGTTTCCCATTGCTTTTAGAATACTTTCTAACCCCTAATAAAGGATTTGACCCCTGCACACTTCTCCAACATCTTCCCGTAGCCCCTGCCCCTCCAGCTAAGCTCCAGTCCTTTTGGTCTGTGAAACAGGACAAGGTCACTCTTGCCTCAAGGTCTTCCTGTGGCTCATTCCTCAGGTCTCAGCACAAATGTCACCTCCTCCAGGGGGCCCTCCCTGATACACTGTCCCATGTACTTCCACACAGCTCCAACTGCAATCTATGAATACTTTTGCTATTGGTTTACTTGTCTCTATACCTCCCTCACTGGACTGTAAGCAACATGAGGATAAGTATCAGGTCTGTCTGGTTGATAACGGATTCCAGGCATTCCTAGTACAGTGTGCCTGACATGTAGTTGGCACTCAGTAAATATTTATTGAATATAAGAATGTACTTCAATTTACTCATCTGTAACACAAACATATTAGTTCATGCCTCCTGGCTCTAAGTGAAGGTCAAAAAAGATAGTGAATGAATATAAAGGCCTAGCCCAGAATCATGGTCCAACATATGTGGGAGACGTTGGACTTAGTTTTGAGAAAAATTAGATTAGATGTGGGGACAGAAATTAAGCCAGAAACACTCTGCCTATAGGGAGCACCAAAGCTCTCGGCAATTCCCCCACCCAGAACTGCCTCTTCCCTGACTTCCCAGAGCAGGTGCCCCTTGGCCCAGCCCCTCGCACCCTCTGAGGAAAACTCACCTGGGACCAGGCTCCAGTCCGCCACTGGGCCGGACATGGCACACGGAAGCAGGGCCGCCGGCTCTCAGGCCGGTCCCCAGGGCAGGCCTTGGCTGGCATGGCCTTGTGGGTAGTGTTGGAGAGGGGCAGCAGGCACTGCACCCCCCGAGTCTGCACCCCCAGCTTCCCACAGCTCCGGCTGCAGGTGCCCCACTCCTCCGTCACCCACCTGGAGACAGAGCAGAAAGTGGAGGGGAGGTGGGACTACGGGAGACTTCCTGCCAGGGTCTGTCCCACCACCTGAACCACTGCCAGGAGCCAAAGAGTAGGTTTGGGCTTCAGAATGCTTGGGGGCCAAGACAACTATCTGCCCAGCTCTGCAGCTACCAGGCTGTGTGGCCCTAGGGAGGTCGTTCATTCCCTCCTGTTTCCTCATCTGAAAAACAGCATAATGCACATTTAAATCCTGACACTCTCATGTCCTTGGGCAAGCTATTAACCCCTCTAAGCCTCTGTTACCCCATCTTTACATCAGATTCTTTCAACACCTCAAAAATACTTTTTTAGTGTCTAGGTTTGCAGGCACTGTCCTAGGTGCTGAGACAGGGCAATGCACAAAACAGATGCAAGTGGCTTGAATATAAAACCCCCTCTGCTAAGGCTCTTGGGGACAATTAACAGACCTGTATATGTAAAGCACTTGGCAGAGTGCATAGCATGCAGTAGGCAGTAATAAATGCGGACACTAGTACTATCACCGTCAGCGCCCGCAGAACTTCAGTAGTGATCAGCTAAGCTGGTGGCCTCTAAGCGTCTTTGAGCCACAGAGAAACTACGGCACCTTAAGCAGATGCCCCCTGGATGAGTTGACAAAAGCAAAACTGCTCTGGTGGAGCAGAGGGGGTGGCAGCCCCAACCCCTTCTCCCTTCTCAGCTTCCTGGGGCAACTTTTAGTAAACCAGGGCTCTTTCAGCCAACAAATTCCCTTAAAAGACAAAAAGCTCCCAAACTTCACTTGGCATTTCACAGATGAGGAGACAAGCTGGAGAGGGGTGACCTGCCTGGGCTCACAGCAGAGGCAGCACCACACGTTCTGTGATCACAGACGTTTGTGGGGAAAGTGGCCTGTGAGCAGCATAAAGTAAGTAAAAGAAGTAGAGAGGGCTGAGGGGCTGGGGCTCACGGCCGGGTGGGGCAGAGGGAGGCCACAGTGGGCTCCAGTGCAGGTCGCCAGCTTCCCGCCTGACGAGCAGAGCTGCTGGGTTAGGCACCCCTGGGAGGACTCCTGGGGGGGAAGGAGGATGAACCCAGCTCTCTGCCTGGGGTCACGGCCACTAGAGAAGCCTTGAAGAGGCTGAGGAGGTGCTGGGCAGGCTCTGCTGCAGGCTCAGAGGCCAGACCTCAAATCCTCCACAAGTCACAGCTCTTTCCTCTTGCAGAAGCCCCTCTAAATAACCCCCAGAACATGGCTTGTGGCCGTGAGAATCTGAACCCTCAGGCTAGGGAATCGCAGTCAGGGTCTAGACCACGGTTGGGGGCTGGCAGGCCAGGCCGCGTCCCTGGGCCCCAGATGATAGCTGAGAGGAGCTGGTGGATGGCGGCCTGGATGGGGACCTAGAACTTCACTGGAAGCACTGAAATCCACTTCATCTCTATGACCCCTGGATCACCGAGGGAAAGCTGTGTCCCCAGACTGGGCCTCGGTTTCCGCATCTGTAAAAGACTGCTGGGAGGGGCAGACAGTGGAAGCATCTTCCTTCTTGGAGTGGAACTTAATCAGAAACCCCAAGGGGGGCAGATGGGCAAGTCTGCCATGGGTGCCCTCTGCTCAGGGAGTCATCGCTGCAGGCCCTGTGGGCCTCCATGCTCCAGTGCTGGGGGAAGCAGGCCCAGCAGCCCCTGCTCCTGGGGCCAGGCCCAGAGAGGGCCTGTGACAGCCCCAGGCGTGGGCTCAGGCTCCGCCCCCCGCCCCCAGGAGCACTCACACAGGCTGGGCACATGGGTGCTGGTTGCAGCGCCGGCGGATAGGCTTGGGCCTCTTGCTGTGGTCGCACAGGTGCCGCTGTACCATGTGGTGGTCTCGGCGGCGCCGGCAGCCATATTTGGTGAACTGGATACCTGTGGGGGGGCAGGCTGCCATGGGCCTCATCCTGCCAGGGCTCCACTGCCCCACCCGGGGCCTCAGGGATAATACCCTTGAGAGAGCCTCAAAAGCCCATCCAGCCCCACCCTGTGCCTTTGTGTCCCCTCCTGCCCAAGTCACTTTCTGAGGAAGACTTCCTTGACCAGCTCATCTCATGTTTCCTTGATGCAGTGTAGGTAGGGATGTGGCTCTGGATGGCTGTCTGTCTGAGTAGCTGATAGGGCATAGACCCTGGCCCAGATACTGCTCTAGCAACCCCAGCCCCAGCCTAAAGGCCCTGCCCAGTCAGGCTACCACATCCCAGAGATATTCAAGGAGAAACTGAGGCATGAGCTGGGGACACGTCAGGTGGAGACAGTGCCACTCTCCAGCCACTTCTGCTCCTCCTCGAGGCCCTGGGCTGCTCTCACAAGGCAGCTGGGTGGTCGGGTGGTACAGTACCTCCTCCACACGGCTTGGTGCAGGGGGCCCAGCTCTTAAGTGCCCACTCATACGTGTCCGTCTCCTCCAGAAGCACATTGTTGCTCCCGATAAGTGGCAGCAGGTCCTCATGGATGATGTACTTATAGGCCAGGCTGCTGGGGGGACCACCCTCTTTTGGGGGGAGCACCTGAGGGGAGACAGAGGAAGTGGCACAGGACTGGAGAACAAAGAAGTAAGGCCAGGGGAGGGTGGAGAGGGGAGGAGGGGGATCAGTGCCCAGCACAGCCTGGGGAGTTCATTCAGACCAGCAACCATGCAACAAACTCAGGCTGAGCACCTACTGTGTTCCAGGCCCAAGAACAGCCTTGGTGCCCATCAATGATTTTCCCTCCACAGACCTAAGTTCTAAGGTAGGAACCATGTCTGTCAGTCCTGCTCACCAGGGCATTCACACTGCCTGGCTGCCTTAGGAGAGGGACTATAACATAGACTCTTATCAGCTACATGATTGCAAATATTTCTTCCCATTTTGTTTAGGTTATCTTCCCACTTTCTTGATATTTTTAAATTTTGTTGCTCATGCTTTTGGTGTTATGTCTAAGAATTGAAGATCATGACATTTATCCCTCTATTTCCTCTAAGAGTTTGGTTTAGCTCTTGTATTTAGATCTTTTATCTATTTTGAGCTGATTTTTGTATATGGCATGAGGTAGGGGTGTGGATATCCAACTGTCCCAGCACCATGACATGAAGCGATTCTTTCCCCATTGAATGGTCTTGGCATCCTTGCTGAAAATCAGGTGGCCATAGGTACACAGGTGGTCAATAAAAATAGACTGAATAGAAAATACATGTTTGATTGAATTAATATGCTGATACCAACAGGCTTCCTGCCCTCCAGAATCTCCCTGACTAGTGAGAGTAGCACTAGGACCGACCAGCCAGTGCTGGGGGCAATGCAGACAGAGGCCCTCCTGGTCTGGTCTCCTGAGTTAGGAATCCCTGCTCCACAGGTCCTGGGCTATGGTCTAGGAAGAGCACTTATGGGCAGAGGTGGGCCCCAGCCCAGACAGTGGCCCTGTCCCCCTCTTAGGAGGCTGGCGGTGCTAGATGGCTCCCCCAGGGCAGTTACCCAACAGGCAGCAGGAAGCCACTCCTAGACTCACCTGTTGGCAATACCATAATACAAAGGGACACTAGATGATGCCAGGATGATGGGGGAACCAACCCAGGTCCTTCCCGCTCCTCTCAGGCTCTATTTCTGACCCTGCACTAGGGAGAACAGACTCTAGTCTGTGTGGTGTCTCTAGTCTGACAGGGAGACACTGTTTCTATTTCCTTCCTCACTTGCCATCCTGCCAGTCATTAACCACAATGGAAGGAGCTTACCCAGATTCCTGAAGACACTGGAACAGGAGCAGGTTCACCAGGCCTGTGCTGGCTTGGCAGCTGACAGTGAGCTAGGGGGACTGGGCTGGGATAACAAGGAGGGTGGGCAGGGGCCACCGGGCAGGGTGGGGGCTCACCAGGACGGTGATGGCCTCAGGCAGGGGCCCACTGGTCTTGAGGCTCTCCTTGGCATCCTCCACTGCGTACTCCCACTCCAGGCCCATTGCAGCGAAAGTCCGGCCCATCACTTCCTTGCCCTTGGGGTTGAGGATGAAGCTGCCTGTGACCTGGTTCTTCACCGCTGGCCATGGGGAAAGGATCACACAGATTTCTATTCTCCTTCACAGGAGCATGAGCCAGGCCTCCTCAGAGACTTCAAGGCCTTCCCAGTGGGCCCCTCAGGCTCCTGGTCTACCTGTCACTCCTTCCCACCTGAGCCCTTCCAGTCAGATAGGTCACCACACTGTCCCCACACAGCATCCCTGCCTCTGGACCCAGGTTCACATCATTCCTTTCACATTCACTGTCTTCCCTTCCTCTTGCCTGACTAATATCCACCCGTATTTAAGGCTCAACATAATTCTCCCCTCCTCCAGGAAGCCTTCTTCAATTGTCCAGTCCTCAGGGAGCACCCTCCCTAAAATGTCTATAGCAGAGCATAGAGTTCTTAAACCTTTAACAAGCTCTGTAGTTAGACTGATCTGGAGAAATTCCTTAGTTTTCCTGTGCTGCTTCAGTTCTTATTTGTAGATGGGAATGATAATTATACCTGGCTCTCAGGGCTGCTGACCTCTGAGGATAATTGCAGTACCCCACTCCCACCTACCCCACCAGGGGGCTTTGGGGACAATGAAAGAGCTCATTCATGTAAGGAACTAGACAGAGCGCATGGCATGCAGTGGGCACTTAACAAATGGTAGGCATTATTACCGCCATTAGAACAGAGCCTGCCTTGGCACTGCTGTGGCTACAGATCTCCTGTCTCTCCCACAGCCTGTCAGCACCTCTCCCCCATCTCCGTGTCCCTGGGCCAGCACAGGGCCTGGCATAGCATGGGAGTTTAAAAAGACGTGTAAATTTCTACCCCTTAAAGTTCCGTCAGCGAGTAACTTCAAGAGACTTAAACAAAGCCAACTTATTACTGAATGGCAAGAGGTAGGTGGGAGGTGTGTGGGTACAGACCCCAGCACAGACCCCAGAGTCATGGTCTTGGCCACCCTGGATGCAGCAGGGGTTGGGGAAGGTCTGAAGCCTCGGCGCGGAGCCCCTCAGCCAGGTGGGGAGGGCAGAGGCTCTGGAGCCTGGGGGTAGTATGACTACAGTATAAGAGTCCATGACTGTAGTATAAGAGCCAACGATTCAGGGCACTAACCAGGCGCTGGTCACTCTGCTCACTGCCTCGGTGGGATCCTCACACACGTGCTGAGGCTAGTGCTATATTAATCCAGGTGGGAACTCAGAAGCCTGAGAAGGGCTGGGATACACAGAGGGCTGCTGGCCCAGCTTCCTGGAGGACCGGCCTCTGCGCTGAGCAGGAGGAGGAGAGATGCCCCTCGTGTCTGACCTCTCTTGGCCCTGAGAATGGCCAGATCCTCTAGGCTCCAGCTGGGTGGCTCCTCAGGCCAGGCCAGCCTCACATCTCCCCCGCACCTCGCAGCAGCCACCAGCCCTGTCCTGGCTGCATGTGCTGCATTCCAGGACTCAGCACGGACCCTGCACATCCAGGCCTCCCACTGACCCACTCTGTATCTTAAGCCACAATGTTAACCTCCTGTAGCCTCAATTTCCTCAACTACAAAATGGGATAAATAGCCTTCACAGATTAATAGGCTTAAATGAGACTCTGACTAAGAAGTGCAGCTCAAGGCCCAGCACATGGGAGATACCAACAGCCTGACTTCTCTCCTCTTTCTTGCCTTTCAAACAGATGATATTTGAAATTTCAGGAGAGCCTGACAAGTTTGGATAGGGCTTCGGTCCTCACTGCCAAGGCTGCCACCTGTCCTGAGCTTCTCTGGGAGCACCCACCCTGTCAGGCACCATATACACCTTTGTCCTGAGGGCCCACTGTGCACCTCACACACACATTATCACACAACCCATGCCAACATGAGGTCTCTGTTTCATGTCCCTCCCTGCCCAGGCCCCTGGAGAGCCCTAACCTTCAGGAAACTCACCAGTAAGCACACTGGTGAGAGTGCCTGTGCTGAGCCTGTGCTGGGTGCCAGGAGCCCACCCCACTTCCACAGGACCAAGGAACTAGATTTCTGGAGACGGTGGAAGGCATGTGTGCGTACACACACACACACACACACACACACACACACGTGCACACACACGGCCAGGGCAGCCCAAGGGACTGCTAATATTATGGACCATCTATAGGGGTGCACAGAAGGAGTGTCTGTGAGTTCCACCCTCTTCTTGGAGTAAATGACCCTCTGTCCTTGCCTTCTTCCCTCCCCTGGTCCTTCTTCCTGCCTAATTCACCAGAGCCAAACAGGCAAGTGAGCAGGGAGTTGGCTGAGCCAAAGCCCTCTAAACTCACACCCCCTGTCAGGGCAGTGTGGCTGGCAAGGCCATGGGACTCGGCGACCTGGGTCCCTACTGGTTCACCCCCTGGGTGAATCAGGGTACACACAAGACCCTATGTGTACCCTCAGTTTCCCCTTGTGCCTTTGGTCTATTTGGACTAAACCCCCACAGATGCCTTCCAGAGCAGGTTAGGAATCAATTATGGCTGTGCTAATGCATTCTCCAGGGAATGCAAGTTCTTCATGAGACTTGAACAGGTTTTCTTGTATTATTGTGAAGATAACCTAAAAAACATGAGTGTCAAAATTTTTGTAATACATAAGCTTGCCCAGAAATGCTATGTCTTCTGTTTGTGTTTATGACAAGTTGGTGACAAGCAGTGTGACTTGGTGGACATAATAAGTAGGAGGTGCATCCGGGATGTGCTATGGCTCAGTGACATCATAGCCCACATGCCCTCTGTAAGGGGTTTGATCACAGACAAATGTGAGAGAAGCCAGCCACTGCCCAGCATGTGGAAAGCAGCCTTCTGCCCACCTGCCCACCAGGACCCTGCTCCAAACCATGCTTATGTGTTTTAAATTGAGATATAATTCACATACTATAGAGTTCAGCCCTTGAAAGTGTGCAATTCAAGGATTATACAGTCATCACCACTAATTCCAAGATGCTTTCGTTGCCCCCGGAGGAAATCTGAGACCGATTTACCATCTCTCCCCACTCCCCACTCATTCCAGCTCCTGACAACCACCAGTCTCCTTTCTGTCTCTGTGGGTTTGCCTGTTCTGGATATGGTCATTTCTCAACAGCCAATTTAGTTACAGCAAAAGGAGAACAAACCAAACACACACAGACATCTCTCCAATTCCATTTCTGTTCTTAATTTGAATGTTATGATTTATTTGAGGGCTGTAATTTAGAAACTATCAGCTTATAGTTGGGTGCGTGCAAAGTATAAAGAGTAGGCATCTAGTTTAGTAACTATGTGTTTAAGTGTCACTATGGTAAGAATGATTTAAGGGTCCATGTGGTAAACTGCAAAAATGGCTCCTATTCCTGTGTGCATGTGCCTTTGTACTATGGCTTTACCACATTTCCCATCAACAGATGGTCTTTTTCTCCCCCTTGAGTCTGGGCTTGGCCATGAGACTTGCTAGGGCCAGTGGGACGCTAGGAAGCGTGACAAAAGGAGACTTGATATATGCTTGCACACTGGGGTTTATTGCTCTTGCCACTCCTGAGGACCACGTGCAGACACCATGTGCATAATCCTGGGCTAGCCGGCTGGGGACATGGCCCTGTCATCCCCAAGACCGCAGGAGACTTCCAGTACCAAACAGGTCCCTACAGAGCTACCGGATGATGGTATTTATATAAGTAAGTCCAGGTGGATGAGTAGCAGAAACACCCAGCTGAGCCCAACCCCAACCAATGATCCACAGAACTGTAAACTAACAAACACATATTATCTGAAACCACCAAGTTTAGGGATGGTATCTTATACAGCAAAAGCTGCCTGATACATTCTATGAAAATGGTTTTCCTTTAAAAGGTATCTACACGCACAAGAAATTAACAGTGGTTGCCCATGGAGAAGGAAACTACTCTTGGGGGACAGGAGTGGGAGGGGAAATCTTCCCTAGATCCCCTTCTAAAATTTGAACCATGGAACAGGTTGCCTATTCAACATAAGTAAAAAAATAAAAATAAAAAAGGGTTCTCTGTTATTATTCAAATTATAAAATCCCCCTGCACATTAGAATCCTGTCTCTGTTTTCCCAGCTCTGCGACACCTGAGGTCAGGTCTCGGGGCCTGGCTGCCTCTCTCCCAGCACCCCAGCACTCACCAATGTGGTGGGGGACCTTCTCCAGCTTCTCAATTTGGATGTGCCTGGCACCCGCTGGGATCTGTACCAGTTTGAGAGCTCCTGCCACAGAGGAGGATCCAGAAAAACTGTGAGCATCCTGAGCTCGTGGCCCCACTGCCCGGCATTGCCCATAATCCTTTGGCCCAGCAGGTACCCAGGACTATCAGTGTCCTCATCTGTAACAGAAGAATGAGCCCTTCTCCACCGCTCTATTACAGATTATGAGAGGATCAAATGAGATGTTTTTGCTTCAAATTCTCTATAAGCTCCAAGGGGCTCTGTGTGTGTGTTTATTGCTATTACTTCCACTTTCTTGACCCTCCTCTTCTTCCTGACTTCTCCTGCCCCCTTTCTTCTCACACCTTTAGGGATTTAGATGAAATAGGCCACGAAGGTCCAGCATGACTGCCCTGGGCTTCTATAGCCTTCCCAGTTTGAGGCCTGGAAACCAACTTTTCACACAGCCACCAACTTCCCCCTTATAAGGAAAGGTGAGGCAAAGCTGGGGCATTCCCAAAAGGGAAATGGATCTAGTCCATACTAAAGTGTAAAGGACCAATATCCAGCCCTATGCAACAGCAAATGTGGCCAGATTGGAGGTGGGGAAAGAAGTCAAGGAATTCAAAGTGACCAGGAGTTCAAAGTAGGAGGCACCCCAGGCTTAAAAAAAAATCCAGTCTGGGCCATATCTTCAGACCTATCGGACTCTGCTCCCACTAACGGCCTCAGGGCCAAAGAGATGGCTGAGCTACTATCACAACACATTGCCTAGCAGGAAATGTTCTGAGCTCCTGGCCCAAATTTAGGCAGAAACATGCCTGGAAGACAAGATGACCAGCTGCAGCTTCTGACTCACCAGCCTGGGGATGCCTCGGAAGGTCTGGAGATAGGTTCTACGGCCCCTTCTCCTCGCCTTGAATGGTAGACCAGCTCAAGGAAGGAGGGTCTTAAGGTCCCTGACCTGAGGCCCCAGGGACCCTGCTGGGCCAGAATCAGGGACTCTAGGGACTCTTGGGACCCAGCCACTCCTGATTGTCCCCCCAGGCCCAGCCTGCTCACCTGCCTGCTTGGAGGCCTTGCCCAGCGTCCCCTTCACAGTCCTGCAGTGGGAGTTGTCACCGCCACAGACTCCACACTTGTCATCTGTCTTCATGGACCCCACCTCCTTGTCACAGCCGACGGGCTGAGACCAGAGGTGAGGTCAGTGGGAGGAGGCTCCCACATCTCTATCACCACCCCTGTGCCCAAGACATGAGAGGGCCCTGGACTGAGAGGCATTCCTGGACGGGGCTCTGCCACAAACTTGCCATGTGACATGGGCAAGGTCTTAAATCTGGCCACTCCTCTCCCCTGGAATGGGGCTGGGCAAGAGCCCCTTCCCAGCTTCCCAGGGTTATACTGAGGACCGAGGTGTGTCATGGGTGGAAAGGTAAAGCAATGCTTATCTTCCTAAGGAACAGGGGAGGCAGGCAGTGCAGCCCTCCAGACTCCCAGGGCAGGTGGCAGCTGGGTAGCCCAGAGGGGCATGCCTACCACACACTCGCCACGGGCACAGACGCTGTACATGTCCCGGTAGCTGCAGCGCGTCCCGTCATGGACCACCTGGTTCATGAAGACCACGTCTCCTGTTTCCTCTGACTGGCAGATCAGCTCACACTTCTGGGCATCTGTGGGGAAAGAGACCATGCTCAGCCCCCAGCTGGGCTCTGAGAAAGTGGGCTGGCCCAGAATGACACCAGCGCATAGCCAGGCCAGAAGCTCCAGGGCAGCTCTGGGCAGTTGGGGGAACACTGGGTGTGGAGCTGGGGCTTAAAAGTCCTGCTATATCATTTATCAGCCATGTGACCTTGGGCAAATTATCTAACCTTTCTGAGCCTCAGTTTGTTATTTATTATATCTGACCAGTAAAATACCATAGCAGGTTAAGACAAATTAAGTGTTAAAATAATAATGATCACAATAATAATAAGTTTAGTAAATACTTATTATATACCAATACTTCCAAAGCCTTTACACACTCCTGATGTACGATTTTAAATGGTTTCTGTGAGTTAACTCATGTGAACCTCTCACTAGCCTAAAGGAGTAGGTTCTAGTAAGAGGAAGGGCCAGGAAGATAAGCTGTCTGGCTCGAGTCCTGCTCTGACCTCTGCATACCTTCCACCAGTTGCTCGTATGATGGTGTGAACGATAGAAGGCTGTGTGAACGTAAGGCGTAAGGCAGAACAGTGGTCTCTGCTTGGGTTTACAGAATGGAGCAGCAGTGAGGGAGGGTAATAGGTCCTGTCTGGTTCTAACAATGAAATGTTTTCTTCTCTATCAGGGCTATTGACATCCTAAAAAGGAGGTTCTGGAGAATATATAAACATTTGCTGTTTCTTAGAAAAAGGGAGGTTGGGGCTTAGCTAACTTCCTGGAATTTGTCTAAAAGTCCTGGGAATCCAGCTGCCCCATTGGCCTCAAAGCCTCTCCCTGTCCTGAGCTGCGATGGCTGGTTTGCCTCTGAATAAATCTGTGAGGCATATAAAGCAAGCTGCTCCCTCAGCCAAATTTCTAAGGAACTGTCTGGCTCCCCACTCCGGGTTCCTGGGCTCCCAGGATACCTGGTGACATCTTGCCCCAGCACTCAGGACTCAAGTCTGCAGCCACTGACACTATTTTGGATTTTACACACAGGAACCAGACTCCTGATGGGACCTGGACCCAGGGCCAAGGGTGGGGGGCTCCACTTTTTGCAGAACACTCAGTCCTTGGGCTCACATTTGGAATGACATTTTTCAAGTGGGAAGGGAGCTCAGAAGCCCACCGGCCCACTGGCGCACAGACCCCTCTGGAACAGGCCTGCAGGGAGTGTCTTCCCTCTGCTTGGATTTCTTCCATTCTGGGGACCCGCCACTCCCTACGGCTGGCTTCCATGGCTGCACAGCAATTTGTCTGTCTGGGTCAAGGACTGAGGGTTCTGCAAAAAGTGGTGGCCCTGGGCTGAGGAGAGGCCCAGCCATTCTAACTGGCTAAGAGCTATATGATAGGGGGTGAGCATGTGTCCATGGACGAACCACAGAAATGTGGCTGGCAGGGGGAGATGGACTCAGAGGACTGTTAAGGGTCCTTCCAGCTTGAGGGCTCTAAGATGCCACGAACCTAGCCCGTCATTGGTTTCTCCCCACTGCTACGAGAGCCTTCACTGGAGATGCCCCAAAACAGACAGGCACTAGCACGGGCTTGGTCCCAAAATTCAGACCCTCTGCATGAGTTCCGATGTCTATGTCTATGTCAGGGCAGCTTGGAGGGGGTCAGTGTGAGGATCCCACAGGCTCCCATCGCCCTGCCTGCCAAGTCATTTTCATTAACTGCAATGGTAGCACAATCAGTAAAACTGAAAAACATGGCATGTGATAGGACAGAGCTCCTCAGCACATTGATTATGAGTGAGCAAGGGGCACCTGCCCCTGCATAGTGCCTTCCCGCACAGATAAGGACGTGTGTGACAGGCACAAGCCCCAACAGCCAGCACTGTGCCAGCATCCACAGCTCCACTGGGTGAACTGTCCCTTGCTCAAGACATTTTCCTTGCATCTGCAGAAAACAGTCATTGTAAGTATACAAATCAGGGATGGCTTTGATGAGGATGGTGCCTCCACCCCTGCCACTGAGAGGAACTCATAGCCAGCCCTGCACACAGGTATGTGGCAAGCCTGCTGACAGCATGGCAGATCCTGCCTGGGAAGGCAGCGGCCCAGCAGATGAGCAAGGATATAGGGGTGGGAGAGGGGACAGAGCCGGCTCACCATCCTCAGGCTCGTAGGGCATCCAGCTGTGCTTGGTGTTCTGGTGGGTGTAGTAGGAGTTGCGCTTTGCACACTGCTGGGCCCGAAAGTCCTCGTAGGGACCTGGACACTCCTCGCTGTTGCAGACCTGGTACTGGAACATGGGCCCTGAGCACAGGCGGCCTCCATAGGCTGGTCTGGGACAGGCACAGAGAGACCCTGTGACCTTAGAGGCTGGGAAGGCTGGGGAGGACCAGTCTCCTAACACAGCCCCATGGGCAGCTCACAGCATAAAAAGTGTTTGCACTGACTTATGAACTGGAGAGGGACCCCCATTGTGGGGGTTGCTGAGCTCAGAGCCTTCCAGATCCCTCTTGCTCCACAGTGCAGGCACATGCACATTGCACTGTGTGTGTGTGTGTGCGTGCGTGTGCATGTACGGATGTGGGGGAAAGGAAGGAAGGGGGAAGAGAGGGGGAAGATGGGAGTGGCTAACGCTCTCAGCTGGGCTGAAAGAGAAATCAGTCTCATTCATCTTTGTGTATTCTTTCAACTGTTACCCAGGGCCTGACATACTAAGCATTCAATAAATGACTCAACTCTTCCTATTTATATCCACTCCCACTTAAGATAATAAATTAAGGAGTAGTAAAAGACACTTGGATTAGGCATCAGAAGATCTGGCTAAAGCTCTCCCCCACCCTGACGTGGGTCCTGGGTAAGCCCCTTAGTCTTGCTGTACCTTAATTTCCCCTTTAAAGCAGGGACATAGTACTTCTTCTGTTACCTACCTAATGAAGAATAAACAAGAAGAGGTATTTTAAAGCAATCCCTACTCTCTTCTCCCTTAAATAAAGAGGATTAGGTAAGATTTATGATATAAAGTATCCATGTGTACTGGGTGACTGGTAATCAGAGAATTACGTGGATTTATGCACAAAAGGCTTGGCATCCACCTAGCTCGGTCAATGTACTCAATACACTGCAGTAATTTTAACAGCAGCTGCCATTTATTAGAGCTTAATCTATGCTGGGCATGGTACTGAGGGTACACATATTAATTTCACTTAAGCCTCGTAACATAAAAATGGTTATTATTACAGAGGCAGTCAATAAGTTTAGCTTTCATCCAGGGGATAACTATCCGTCATGACTGAAAGGTGGTTTACTCAGAGTGGGCAGCATGAGGCCTTTCTGTTACCCCGGCTTTCATACCCACATTGGGTGGAAGTTATAGGCCAGTTCATTTGGGCTCGTATTTGTAAAAGGCCAGTACAGCCATCTGACACAGGAACAGGCTGCTCCAGCGGGCAGTGAACTTCCCGTCCCTGGAGGTAAACAGATCCTGAAGGCCCAGTCCTGAGGGTGCAAGACAGAGGATGGCCACTCTGGAGCCGCTGCCATCCTGCACCCTGCCATTCTGTAGACCCCGTCATGTCACTCAGTGAGGGCTGGGGCCAGGCGCTGCCCGCAGAGGTTTGGAGGCCCTGGTTTCTGGAGCCAGCTGACCCACACGGCCACCCCCACCAGTCCCTGCCTCTCACGAAGCTGTTCTAAGTGGGCTGCTTCAGCTTGGAAGATGAAGGCCACAGAGCTGGCACTCAGGAGGTCCATATCCTCGGGAAGGGATCCCCATAGAGGGAACTAAAAGGGAGAAACAGACTGCTCCCCCAGAATGTTGAAACTGGGGGTGTAGGGTGAGGGAGAGTTGGCATTAGAAAGAGGTAAGTTAAGAAAAATTAATGGGAAGTTTTGCTTCATGTGGTAGAAAACAAACTTGGGGAATTTTCTTTTCCTAAGATGTGGCTACTGAGCATTTCAGTCAGGGTTCTCTCAAAGGTAAGCCAGAGGATCAGGGTCATGGGAGGGCGTGTTAAACTGGCAGAGTCCTAGGCCCACCCAGGCCCTCCTGAGTATCTTCTGCACACGGAAGCGTGAAAATCACCAGTTTAGACCCATTCTCAGTTGTCAGACCCAATAGGCCATGTCAGACTCAGGCAGAAGTGATCTGGCACCACCCAACAGTCCTGGGCCCTCATCCATTAGAATGCTCAGCCACCCATCGGGGTCCTTCCCCCTGGTGCCCTGCACCCCCCACCCCCTCCAAATGCCTTCCCCTTCAAGCCCCTCAGGCCCAGGGAAGGGGGTTCCCTGCCCTGCCACCCCAGCCAAATGTACTCACGGGGGATTGTCACAGCTCCGGCTGCGGGATCGAACTCCACCCCCGCATGACCGTGAACATGACCCGAACTTGGTCCAAGAACTCCAACCTCCATCCTGGCCATAAGTCTGCTCCAGTGACTTCCAGATGCAGTGGCCTTTGAAGCACCACTGGGAATGAGCAGAGGGCATGAGGTTACTTTCAAGGCATTTCTGCCAGCCTGCCATGGAGAGTGCTCCACCGAGCACCAGCTCAGAGCTCTCACACCCAGCCACAAGGTCCCCTAACAAATGAAGCCCTAGTGCTCACACACACAAGGGTGCAAACACACACCAGGAAATACGTGAAAGCACAGGTCTGGGAAGGAGGGGAGAGAACACGTGTGTGGGAGAAAAAGCGTGGTGGGCAGGGGAGAGGAGGCAGGACAGCTGGGGTCTTCCCTTCATTCTCTCTGCCACTCCCTGTTTGACCTCCACAAGTTCCTTAACTTGCCTGGGCCTCACTCTCCTCATCTGTGAAGTGGAGTAAGCACTCCGGCTGGACGGGCTATGAGATAATGCCAAACCCTGCAAGCTACAGAAGCAAAGGACTGTGTTGTGGGAGAGAAGAAAGGGTGTGGGCTCATGGGGGGGACTCCACGCGTGCCTGCCTGCACAGGGAGCGCACACCTGTCCTCAGTACCCACCCCAAACACACTCCTACACACACTCGGTGAGGAGGCATGGGTTCCCCTGGGACCTGCCCCCAAGAGGGCCACTCTGGCTGCAGGCCCTGGCCACAGAGTACCTTGCCTGGCGCACACTCGGTCCCGTCCAGTGGGGGCCCCTTCTTGGTCTTGCAGAAGTATGGGTTGTCAGGGTGGCTGCACCACAGCTGCTTGCAGGGCTCAAAGGTCCTGAACTGCATGGTGAAGGGAATGGGGTCACTGGACTTGACTGGCTCTCTAGCTCTGACAAGTTTTCCAGGGGGCAAAGGAAAATAACATGGAGAGAGGAGGGTGTGCTGGATGCTGGTGACAGAATACTGCAAGGGAGGCAGGAGGAGCCCGGCCAGCCAGAGCCCCACACACCCTCAGGCCTGGCCCTGCCCAGTGTACCAGTGGCCTCCAGTGACCCCTCTTCTCTCCAGTGGGGCAGCCAGCCACAGCCCCTTGTCTCCCTCCTTATGTCCCTCCCTGCTTTTGCAGAAGCCACTTTGTCACTGAGCAGGGACTAGGGTTTGAAGTTCTGGGGAGCCTGGACCTGCTGGTACCCCCTGAGCCCTGTGCATATGGGGGGCATGATGGGGGCTACCAGTTCAGCCCAGACCCCACAGCACTCAGACAAGGTCAGGGCTCCCCTCTCCCTCGAACCTCACCCAGCCATGCCAGAGGGTGGTCACCTTAGGTTTCAGATTGTCCAGGAAAGCCCCAGTTCCTTTCCTCTCCTATCACCCCCTGCAGCCAGACGAGTGTCCTACAAATACAGCACTGGGGCACTGAAATTCCATATCCCAGGCTTCCTTTCTGTACCCAAAGCAGAGACCACATGTCCCAGTGTGGCCTGGGCAGCGGGGATGGTGGCCACACTCAGGGCCTCCTGAGCCTACAGAACTGGAGCTGCATTTCTGGATGGAGGGTTTAAGGCACTGCAGTCATTGAGGCCTGACCGCACAGAGAGCCCCGAGTTCTGGCATGTCCCCTTCTCAGAGCCTCTGCCTGGGCCCTGGTGAGCAACTGTTCCGTTCTTTCCTTGGTGGCTCTAGCTGATTTCTAGGCCCCAAGGTCTTCCTTGCCCTGCCCTGTCCTGCAGGGCAGAGATGGGTTAAGCTCTCCTGTATCTCTCTCCTTATGCATGGTGGTGGGCAGCAAGCAGCTGAGCCTTAGGAGAGAGGTTTATGTGCAGGCACAGGAGAATTCCACTGTGGTGGGAAGTCAGTCCAAACAGCCTTCCAAACCCCTGAAGAGCAGACGGTGGCAACTATTTCTTCCAGGCCAGAGCCTAGTGCCTGATCTCACTTGTGGACTGCCTAGTGGTAAGCTCCCCCGGTGACCAACCCAGCCAGAACCCCAGGGACCACCTGCCCTCTCTGTTCTCTGTGCTACTCATCTTTCCCATTTCAGAGCTAAAGCATTTTCCAGCCACAGCACACATCTGCACACGGGTGGGACAGGTATGCAGCAGAAGGTGCACTGGTTACCCTGCATCTCCCCACGAATGCTGGCATTAAGCCTGTGGGCTTGTCACCAGGCTACCTGGATGGCTGTGTGGAAGATGCTCTATGAATGAGCAGTCTGGGTCACAGAAGGACACGGCCCAGGTGCCCAGCTGGGAGAGGCCGGTGGGAACTCACCGCTGAGCAGGTGTGGTATCCAGAGCCGAAGTCAAAGCGGCATTGCTCATCCATTGAGTAGCCAATGCCGGGCAGCTCCGGGGGCTGAGGCCAGGCGGGTGCAAAGGGGTCATCAAGGAGGCAGTCATAGGAGCTGCCAGTGGAAACAGGGAGGCGAGCCAGGCTGAGGCAGAATTCCCAAGTTCTCTCTTCCCAGAGGTGGGGGTGCAACAAGCAAAGAAGGCCTGTAGGAATCCGCCCCCTGCTGCCCTATGCTGGCCGCTGTGTCTTTCAGGGAGGTCGGGGTGCCCTGAGCCCTTGTCGGGCAGAACCTCATTTCCACTAATGACTGTGCCTGGGATCTCTGGGTAAGGGCACTCAGGACTGGGGCTAGGAACTCAGTTTGTAGCTTTCATACCATAGCACTTCTGCCCATGTTAAAGGCCCATGCCATGGCCAAGATTAAGGGTTGGTTTGTGGACAATTTGAGAGCTTCCTGAACCAAGGGAAGATGAAAAGTCAGCTGGCCACCCAGAGCATACACTGGGCTCTGGCCAGCTGCTGCACGAGGTTGGTGACGGTATCTCTGCCTGTCCCTCCCCACCCAAATCCATTCTGTGCCCATTCCTGACCTTGCGCTCCCAAGTCTAACACCTGTTCTGGGCCTCAACAGCCCTAGTGTCCCAAGAGCTGAGCAGAAAAACTTGGAATGGAGATGGTGTTAGGAGGGGAGATGACTTGAGGGAGATGGGGTGGCAAGCCACATGCTGCCCTGGCCCCGCCCGGAGGGCAGGGGTGACTTACGGGAGGTAGCGGCTGAGCTCCAGCTTGCTGCAGCGAGACCAGTGGAAGCGGTGGAAGGCAGCCTGCACCAGGGGTGCCATGACACTGCCTAGGCTTGTCTCGTCTGCACAGTCATTCCCCTGACCATCATGCTCCATGCCAAGCCTAAAGGGTTAGGGAGGACACGGAAGAGCCCTGAGTCATGCCCAGGGAGCCTACCCCCAGGAAGACACACAAGCAGGCTAGCAATGGGAGACGCTGCCCTGACCAGGCTGTAGACTGTGCCTTTGGCCTCATTTTCCCCACCATGCAGCAGGGAGGACCACTCCTCTGGATGGAAGCTGAGGCTCCACCCTGTCCCCCAGTGGGCCTAGGCTCATTCTGCCATCCTGCCCCCTCCTCAAGCTCCAATCACATCCTTACAGCCTCCAAGCCAAGCTCAAGCACCACTCCTGCCCCAGGACACCCTCCCTGGCCACCTTGCCTGGGGGCTGACCTCCCACAGCAGAGGCCACCTGTACCACCCTTAACAACTTGCACATGATACCCTGTCTTCCCCACAGACTCAAGGCCTTTGAGTGCACAGAGCAGGGATCATTCATTTCACTTCAACCTCATTCACTGAGTCCCTGTGGGCCAGCCTCTTAAGCTTCTCCAAGACCCTGTGGTACTTAACACAGAGCTTTATACCCCTCCCATAATGATAGTTTTACATGTAAAAGTTTTCTCTTTACAGTTAGTAGTTAATGCCAAAGCTTAAAGGTTCTAAATTCCTAAGTACTCCCAGGCAGCTGGCTCTGGCCTTGACCACTAGACAGACACATGGGCTTCTAAGCTTGACCTTGTCCCTCCCCGGGGAGGGGCCTCTGCTCAGTGAACAGTAATACCCCATCTCCCCACACACAGAAAGACAAACTCCTGGCCCCAAAATATTTGGAACCACTGGCTTCAGAGGCAGGAAGGATGTCAGAGGTTTCCATGGTGTCAGCTTTCATGGTGCAGATGAGGAAACCACAGCCCCAAAGAGGACGTGCCTCCTTTCCCTGCGAGGGGCAGAGCTGGGATGGAGACTGCACTGGCCTCCTGTGCTGCAGGGCAGATGCAGAGAGGGGCAGGGCGGACAGAGGACTGTGGACCCACCCTCTGGGGTGGGCCCACTCCTCTTCCCGTGTCCTTCCTCCTGTAGTAAAAAGTCCTCACTCTGTGTGTGGCTGAGGAGGGAGCCGGCTGGGCAGTGTGTCCTTTACCTCTGCCCCTGAGGACAGACAAGGCCAAGGGGCATGACAGAGGCATGTACACGTTACCATCTGACACACTGGCTAATAAGCTTACTTGCTTTCTTCCAGCTTATAGCTTCTGACACAACTTTCACAAATGTAACCCCATGCCCAGAACATGGCCTGGCCCACAGAAGGTGCTCAAGAAACACTGGTTGAATGAATATGTCCTAAACAAAATCCAGGTCTGAGGATAAGCAAGCCAGCCACCAGCCTGAGGCCGGAGTCGAAGTGCACCTGGTTATGATGGCATCAGGCCAGCGTTCCAGTGCACCCTGAGCACCACTGTGGGCTGGAGTGCCTCTGAGAAGGGCCTGCAGGTGTGGATGGGAGGGAGGGGTAGAGACCACCCAGACAGCAGACCACTGCTTGTGATGGGACACTGCTGCTGACCTGCTGGAACGCAGGGCCATAGCTGGCTCTCCATGGCCCTGGGATTTGGGGACTGGGCCCTAGACAGGCCCAGAATTGCTGCCCAGGCCCTGGGCTCTCCTCGTCAGGGCAGGGCCTTGCTGTGTAGACAGCTCCTCTGGACCTCCTGGGACACTGGGGTGGGAGCCCAATCTGGGGCAAAGCCTCCCACACACAGAACTCCATGGAGCTCAGGGCACACCCCACCCTCTTTATGCCACTTACACGTGGCCAGTCTCGTGGGCCACCACGAAGGCCGAGGAGAAGCCATCCTCATGGTTGAGGGCACAGCTTCTCAGGGGGTGGCACATGCCAGTGACAGGTGCATACCCTGCCAGGAAGAAGGAGAGAAGGCAGAGAAGTCAAGGGGAGGGGAGGTGGGACTCGACAAGGTCTATGCCCAGCCACCTACCACAGGAGCACCCTGACCTGGTCATTGCCAGAGGGTCCTTGCAGGAAGGAGGGTCTCTGCAAAGGCCCACCCACAGTAAAGCACCCAGGGCCCAGCACTGCCACCTGCTAAGGCATTACAGCTTCCCTCTCAGCCTGCAGCTTCCCTGTACTCGTCAGCCCCTCCTCTAAGCAACACAGTGGGATTTCAAAATGGGCCCTGCCCAAGCCTGCGCACACCCAACTTGCACACCATGTCTCTCCAGCCAGCCAGTCAGTTGGTCAGTCAACAAACAAGTTCTAAACATTTTTTATGTGGGGGTAGGGAGTGGTTCTGTGTTAGATGCTATGGGGAAAACAGGAATCAAATCCAAGCCCCCTGCCCTCCCCCCCCCCACACTGAAAGAGCAGATAGCACACCCATGAGACAGCCACATGTAAGTGGCACCAAGAGGTTGGGGTGTGCCACTAACATGAGGTTAGAAGGACAGCTTAGGTATGGGCCCACAGGGCCAGAGTTGAAGGGGCACAGAGGGATATACTTGGGTGATTTGGAGTCAATGAAGGGGTTGAGGCGGATCAGGGAATGACTTATGAGGGGGCACAGAGCTGGGCCTGGAGGACAGGTGAGACAACTCCCCGAAGGTGGGGAGAGGGCCTATGGTGGGGAGGGCACATGGTGGTGCAGAAACGCTGCTGTGCAGGCCTCAGGGCAGCCATGCAGGGGCTGGCATGTAGGTGCAAAAGTGGAGGCCATTTCCTAGCAGGTACTATGTGCAAGGCCTCTGTCTAAGGGCCTTCCTTCCAGCCTCCCCTGGGGCTCATTTACAGGCTGGAGGGCAGATGGGGCTGGGGAAGACTTCCCAGGAAGGGTGATGATAGGGAGTGCTCCCTGCAAGGCCTGCAGCCGACCAGGCTGTCTTCAGAATGCTGAAAAGCCCCCTCTTCAGAACTGCTAAAATGCTTTTTTATTTGAGATGGTTTTAGGGGGTATTATGAGAGGCTATGGTATGAAGGAGATTTCTGGGGATTCAATTATCCTAAAGGACTGAGATTTGCTCTCCATGGGGTAAAAGAACACACACATATGTGTGTCTATGTGTCTGTTCATGTGTACAGTGTCTACATGTATAGTGCATCTGCATGCACACATGTCAGTGTGTCTGTATATACATGTGTCTGTGCATGTGTATGCATGCACATCTGTACTGTTCATATGTGTATATGTGCCCATACACGTGTGTGTCCCTTGTGTGTATGCAAGTCCACATTTGGGGCTTTAGGGATTCTACCCTTTGAGTAGAGGTATGGCTGCCTGACTCACTTCTAGCATCAAACCAGAAAAAACTAGAAAGTCCTCAACTTGGAGCCTGGAGATCCAGTTTGAGTTTCAGATCTGTCTCCTCTCTGTGGTGGACATGGGAAAGCCTCTTTGCCACTCTCTGCCTCAGTTTCCCCATATGGAAAACTGGAGGTGATCAAAGCTTCATATATTTGCAGAGCACTTACAGTCATTCTCTCAGACATTTTATGCATCCCTCACCCTCTTAGCAGCCCTGGAATAGAGGAACGCATGTACTATCATTTTTCCTACTTGAAAGTTAAGAGAACCCAGAGCGACAAAGGGAGCGTGGAGCACTGGCTAGAGAGGTGTGGAGTGTGGGTAGAAAATGGACTTCCTTGCTGACATCCACATGAGCCCCGCTAGGTTCCCAGTGGCCTGCAGTGAGGTCGGACAGATACAGTGTGGGCAGAAGCATCTTGAAGATCAGTGAGGGGCTTCAAGCAGCCTGGCTCTGGGATGGTAAGCACATGGCACAGGGCCCAAGACCTGACCACTCCCAACCTCTTTCGGGTTCAACCAAGACAGCAAGGACCAGAGCAGGGACTCATTCACTTCTCCTGTCCCCAAGAGACCATGTCAAAGCTTGCCTACCTGTCCAGCCACGTCCTTTCTCCAAAGTTCTATGGATCTCTTTGCTGACAGGGGACCTGGCCCCTCGAGGCTCCCCAGGGTGGCCCCAGAAAGAGCCATGCCCTGAGCCTGGGCCTCTGCTCTGTAGCTGCATACACCTGGCCATGGAAAATACAGTGCCTTGCATACCTGAGGGCCCAAAGTCCTGCCGGGTAAGGAAGATGACATGGTCATGGTGCTCTGCATGGCCAGGGTCCTGGCGCTGCTGTGAGTATGCCCAGCGACACACCTGCTCCAGGCTTCGAGAGGGGTTCCCATGCTCAATCAGGCTCAGAGACTGTGGGGCCAGAAAGCGTCAACAGCATAAAGGTCAGTTGGAGGCCCAGACCACAGCTGACACCTGGTGCTCCCTTTCCACTCGCCTAGAAGAACACTGTGGCCCACAGGACTTGAGTACCTGTCCCAAAGCCACCAGCCATCCCAAAGTCGCCAGCCATCCCAACTCCAGCTGCTGCTGGCACAGAGCCCTCCCACTTTAGAAAACGTTCATACGCCACACCCATGCTGGTACACCTACCTGTCTGCTGAGAAATTGACACACATTATCTCTAACCCCTCAACTAACCCGCAAGGAGGGTGGTGTTCTGAGCATTTCCTCTATGCTTTATGTTCATTTTCTTATTTAATCTTCACAACAGACCCGGACGAAAGTTCTGTTGTTACCCCATTTGGGGGAGAATAAGCAACCGGTCTAAGATTACAGAGCCCAGGACCCCAGGGCCCAACCATGGCAGGTTGTCTCAGTTGCTCCCCCTCTCTAAGTTCCAGTTTCATCATTAATTTCTCAAGGAGAGAGATCTCTAGCTGTAAAAATACAGGATTGTCTGCTTATTAGGTCGGAGAGAACCCATAAGTCTCCACTTACCATTTCTAAGGGTCTCCGGGTCCTGATTCTGGAAGCAAAAATGTTTCCTAGATGCCGCCCCCCACTTCTCCCTCCAAACTGCCTGCCAACAAGGGGGGGTTTACCTGCCGGTAGCCGACCATGATCAAGCGGACCAGGGCAATGTTAATGTGGGTCCCCAGGGACTCATCATGGTAAATCTCATCCACCTGTAAGGACAGACGGGCAGGCTGCTTTAGCGGAGGCACTTGTTCATGAAGGGCCTCCTACCCAACAGGCGCTGGGCCAGGTACCTGATGTGCTATCCCATTTCAGCCTCACCATGGCCTTATTGGCAGGCCTCTTACCCCTACTTTACAGATGAAGAAACTGAGGCAGAGAGAGGCAAAATGACCCGCCCACAGACGTGCAGCTGACAAGTTACAGAACTGGGATTCAGAGGCTGGCCCCCCTAACTCCATCTGTGAATTCTCTCCCCAGGGCCAGTTTGAGGGGGTCGGGTCTCACACTTAGCTCCTCTGACAAAGACTCATCTTCCCCTACCTCGAAAAAGTCCTTCCAGAAACACCAGCTGCTTAGGTGACTCATCCTCACACCCCCGTGTGCCTCTCCAACTACCACAGGACTCATCTGCCTGCCTCGTAGTGCCAGGTGCACCTCCAGGGCCCACCCAGGGGATGCACTTGGAGCCTGGACCCAGCATCTCCTGGGAGCTTGTTAGAAATGCAGAGTCCTGGGCCACCTCCCAGGTCACAGACCTCATTTGTAAACAGTCCGTGGAGAACCTCCGGCACAGTCAGGTTGGAGGAGCTCTGCACTGGGGAGCTCCCTTCTCCCATAGGCCCAGGGGCCTGGAGGGGCAGTGCGTGCCCAGTCCATCAAAGAATGCAGCCGTCTCCCTTTCTCTGTTCAGGACTAGCCCAGGACTGTATCCATATCAGATGGAAAAGCCTCTGTCTGTCCACCTGCAAGGACAGGGAGCTCACCTTCTCCTGAGCATCCATCTCCTAAGGATACCCCATTGAACAACTCCAGCTTTTTGTTTTAAATAACTTATTTTTGAATATAAAATACTTTACTCTAAAAAACTTGGGAAAGCACAAAAAGTGTAGAAGAAAATTAAATCACTTATACTGCAATCAGCCAGAGATATATATGTTAACCACAGTCAATATGCTTCCTACAGGGGGATGGTGGGGGGGGAGGGCTCATTTCACAAAACTGGAATCATACTGAATACACTGTTTGTACTTTACTTGTTATTCTGCATATTTAAAAGCATCATCTTTAATGTCTCATGTGATGGGCCATGAGTTCCGTAACTAATCCCCTAGCTGGACAAGAAGTGACTTGTCTGAGCGGAGTAATGGCTGGCTCAACGAGGCAGCATCAGTGTACAACAGTGCTTGGGGCACACTGGGCAACTACTTAGAACCTCTGTTTCTGCTTCTGTTGAATGGAGCTGTCATAGGCTGTCATGTGATGTCTCCTGCCAACTCAACACCTGGGAACAATGCGTGGGCCACCCGGGAAGACAGTCCCATGGGCACGGTCAGTGATGGAGGCAGAAGTGGAAGCCAGCCTCTGGCTCCTGCCCGCTTCCCAGGAGATGGGATGGAGTTTCTCACCCCTTCTGTCCCTCTATGCCCTTCAGCTCATGAGCAAAGTAACCAGCCTACAACCCACGGAAGGACTTCTGTTCCAACCTGTGTGAGAGTCCCACGGGGAGGGGGAGCCAGGAGGGGGCTGGAGGCCGCTCCTAGGCCAGCCAAGGACAGAGCCAGGCTGTGGCGCAGAGCTGCAGCAGCGGGAGCCACATGCACCGCAGAGCCCCAGCCCATTCTCCTAGAGCTGGCAGCTGCCCTTGACCCAGCAGCATGCCGGCTGTAGGGCAGTCAGCATCCAGCTTCCGCCAGGGCCCACCTGGCACTCATGGACCCAACTGAGAACAGAGACCAGCGCCTGCTGTGGGACAGCAGGCCCCCACCACCCCGTCACAGGGAATGACAGGAAGTCCAACGGGTGGCAGGGCTTCCTTCCACCCTCCTCCCCTCTCTAGCAGGAGCAAAGGCATCGTGTGAGTTAAGTGCTTAAACGCATAAACAAATAATGTCCTCTTCAACCTGCATGCCCTTGACTTATCCCAGGTAAATGGTGGGGTGTTGAGTGGGGCCGCCTGATGCCACCTCCCACTCATAGGTAACTGGCCTAAATGTAAATACTGGGCAAGCAGAAAGGGACATGCCACCTGGAGGGACCACTCTGAGATACTGTAACTTGTATACTAAGCTGTGTGGCACAGACCCCATGTGCCACACCCCAGGAAAGGAAGATGGTGTACACATGGGTAGGAGAGGTAAGGAAGGTCTCACTGGAGAAGCCAGAATGATCCTGGTCTGAGAAGGTCATGGGCCCTGAGGAGGAGATAGGCAGAGGCTTGATGCAGGGAAGAGGAAGGCAGGAGCCTTGTGGAGCCACCAAGGGAGCCCAAGGTTGGTGGCAATCAAGGAAACTGAGGCCAGGCTCTCCCATGTGATAGGGAATATTTCCCAAACCCAAGCTCACACACCTCTAGGTGGGTGCTCTTGCCATTACAAAGTTCTCTGTGGAAGCAACTTGTGTCCACTGGTAGCTGAACGGATAAAGAAAAACAAAACAGAAACAGACTCATAGATACACAGAATGAACTGATGGTTGCCTGAGGGTAGAGGATGGGGAGATGGATGAAGGAGATCAAGAGGTGCAAAGTTCCAGTTATGATAAGTAAGTCAGGGGCATGTAAAGTACATCACAGAGAATACAGTCAATATTATCACATGGGGACTGATAGTAACCAGACTTTTTGTGGTGATCACTCATACTATATATAAATATCAAATCACTATGTTGTGAACTTGAAACAAACATAATACTGTGTGTCAACTCTGCTTCAATTAAGTAAGTTCTGTGTGCCAGGAGCCCATTCAGCCTTCCTGTTCACCTGCTCCACGGGCCTCACACCTCCCTCTCCAAGTTTCACTGAGCACATCTGCTCCATTCCTGGGGGCAGATGGAGACCACAGCCTCTCAGGGACTTCTCTCCACACCCACATGAGTCAAAGAGGAAATGCAAGAGGCAGCAAGAGAGAATAGGCAGACTGCTCACCAAGGGAGGACCACTGAGTGGGGAACAAGTTTTCAGTGTGACAAGAAGAGATGCTGAAATAACACCATCAAAGCACCAAGGTAAAGAAACCATCAACCCAGACTCCTGGACCCAACAGACCACCGTTTAAGAACTGTAACAAAATGAAGACATTAGCAAGTAAACAAAAAGTGAGACAGTTACAAAGACCCCCAGAAAAGGATCTGCAAGAAAGGAAGATGGACAGTGACCCCAAAAAGACAGCCTAATGCACAAGGATGAGTGAGGGGTTTTGACGTTATGGTAAGAGCAGGGTTCAGCAACGATGGTCTGGTCTTTTCTTATACTAAACAAGGATAAGAAAAGTAAAGTAGTTCTATTTTATTCCCTTATTTCCCCATTAAAAAAAAAAGGTGGGGCTGGCCCTGCCATTGCAAGTCCCTGGTCTGGTTCATCTCTGGGGCGTTGGCATGCTCATCCCCTCCTTGGGGCTTTGAATCAGCTGGAGATGCCCTGAGGCTTTGCACAGGCCAAGGAGGTGGCTAGACAGGACTGCCATATCCACTCAGAACTGCACAGGCTGCCTGGCACACAGGTCTCGCCCTCAGGCCTGGGCTGGTACTGGAGCCAGAGGCAGGAGGTGCAGCTAATTGAGAGGCCCAGGACCCCAGGCCTCTGGAACACAATCAAGGCAGCTCCCTAGTAGGCTCCAGCCTGGCTGTGTACTCAACGCTTGGCTTTGCCAGTCTCTGCCCTCCACAGCTGCCTCCCAAAAGCCAGAGGCGAGGCCAGAGAGCCAGCTCAAGAGAGGTCAAGAATTGTTTCCCATGGTTGGGGGCACAGGCATCATAGCCCGAGACACACCCACAGGGCAGAAAAGAACACTGTCTGGTCTCATTGCTTCCCCACCTTAGCCAAATTCAAGGTCATCTGCCAAACACTCCCTACCCCCATCGGTCAGGATTCCACATAATGTACTGGCCTGGGATGGTCATTGGGTATGTAGTAGAAAAACAAGCAAAGATCAGGACTCCTCTCTGTCCAAGGGGAGACAAAACAGCACAAGGGAAAAGCTATATAAATAATGTAGTAATTTACATAAATAATATAAGTAAAGCCTCTGCTATATTTTATGGCTAGAAAACACTGGGGCTGGAGGGTGAGCTCTATTTACTGAACACCTACTACGTGCCAGGCACCATCCTGGAAGCTTGCATACAGCCTTACAACAACATTATGGAGAGGAATTATGCCTGTTTCACAGGCAAGAAACCCAAGGCTCAGGGAGGACAAGTAACTTGTCCAAGGCCACCCAGATGGAAAGTAGGATTTGAACTCAGATCTCAGTGTGTGGCTGCTGTCCAGAACCGGTTTCTGTGACAGGCTGGCTGGGGTGGGCTTCCTCTGGCCTGGGAGAGAAGATGAGGAGAGCAGGTTTCCGCATCCATTAAACAGCAACACAGACAGCCAGGGAGTTGTCGTAAGAACCCCGTTCTAACTTCTGTAACCCTGTGTGGCCAGGCCGTCCAGGACCTCATGGCCAAGCCCCGAAATTAAAGAAGGGAAGGAGGGCCCATTGGGGTAGGGCTCAGAATCTGTTTTCCTGCCCCAAGGAAGACTGGTGCCTACAACAGAAATGCCTGTGGCCAGTGGGAGTGAGCTAGACCCCCAGAGAGCCCATGGGAGGGCAGCTGGCAACCTTCCCATCCAGACCCAGCCAAATGGGCTTCTCCTTGGTGGGAAGGACGGGGAGGGCCAGCAGAGAATGGTCCCCAGCCAGCCCCAAGTTCCCCCACTCCTGGGGACTGTTGCTCCTGAGGAGCTCTGGAGCTGCATGCCCACCCACTGCTTGGCAGCAGGTTCGAGAGGTCTCAAACAGGAAGGGCACTGCTGAGAAAGCAAGATACTTGGGTCTTAAGCCCACCCCGTGCTTAAACAGGAGGGGACACTGACTGCCACCTGAGGGCTGCTGTCACAGCACACGACTCCCCACTTCACCAAACCCTCCCACAACCTGCCCAGAAGGAAGCACTATCCCTTCTTTTCTTTTTAATTAATACACTTGTAATTTTAGAGTAGCTTTAG